ATGTTTAGTCTTTTTTATCAAAATGATATCAAAACTTTTTATCAAAATTTTTATCAAATGAATTAATCAATTTTATAATGTTCATAAGAGGTTCATTATTTTTCATAGACTTTTTTTGTCTTTTAATTCCGGTACAGAAATTGAAAATCCGGATCAATTGATGGCTTATTCAATGAATCATATTTTCCACAATATCATCCCTTATAACTCTTCGTAGTATTCGATGATTTTTTTTTTCGAACTTTTTTAAACTTTTTTTCTTCTTGGAAATTTTATGAAAAAGAAAAAAAAATCTCATTCAGACTTTGCTTTTTAAAACAACCATCATCAACCGTAGTAGATACTGCATATAATTATATCACCAACCATACGTACCATATTCATTTATATATACCAAATACCGTATCCTTAACCTACACCGTAACTTACGTATATCGTAACTTATATACCGTAACCTCACACTGCAAATTTTTTAATGCATACCTTGCTGACTTTTACAACTGTATCATATCGGTAACTTTTGTTTGAGTCTAATTTTTGCCCTTACTTTATAAATCAACTTATACATATCGTACTTACTTTACATGTATCAAGTGAACGTACCGTAGCTTTTTAAAAATGCATTTTTACTCTTACTTATAAAGGTCAACTGTATGTACCGTATCTGTCTAATATTTTATCTTTTTCGATTAAACAGTCAATACTTTCGCAGTAAATTTTCCTAAATTTAATGATGGATTTTTATTTGGACTTATTTCATTTTCTTAAGTTACATCCAGTTATTTTCCTTAGGCCTTAAGCCTAAGGCATTGCATGGTATTATTTTCCTAGAGCCTAGGACATTACATGATATTATTTTCCTAAGGCCTAGGACATTATATGGCATTTTACTTCTCTTCAGACACATATAACAACACATCACTTTTTTTTTCTCTTAACTATTTATCAATGTTAATGGAAAAAGGAGGAAAAAGAAGTTGAAAAAGTTGAAAAGACATCCTTAGAATGGAATTCAAAATGCAAATTTAACAAGTAAATGGCTTGGTAAAAATTCTTAGGGTCAAATA